CAGCCAGCCAACCAACCAACCAAACGAAGACGTAAACATACACCAAAACAAGCACACAGGTACAAACAAACAACAAACGAAAAAATAGATAACGAACAAACAAACAAACGAACAAATCAACAAAGGAACAAAGAATGAAAAAGGAGGACGATGGAACGCAGGAACGAGCAAACAAACAAACACACAAACGTCAATAAAACGAACAAGAACGACTTTACAAGTGCAGCTCCAAAGTCAGGGTGTTGGGGATCATGTTCCATGTAGTACGGTTGCATGGCTTCTAGAGCCGTGCTACACGCTGCCATCTCATTTTTCGCAGAGGTAGGTGCACATCACAATGATGATATCGCACACCCGGGTGGTACCGCAAGAATCAGCGCGCGGCGATGTCGAGTTTAGAAACCAGGTAACGCAGTTCAGATGTAGGCAGGTGACGCTTTTTCAGATGAAGTGCATGGACTGTCGTCGATGCTGTGATGTTTTCAGTTGCTATCAAGAGTTTTGTGTTGGACTCAGAGACCTTCAGAGACAATGAACTGCTTTGCCGATGAGTGGGCGTGGGGTTCGCATCCAGACGGGGTCAGGCAGGTATCACCCTCGACCATTGTTGGCTCTCATGTCAGGAAGTTGTGGGTAGCGCCTGGTGTTCGTGTCATAAAAGGGTTCCGTTGTGAATATGTTGGGCTCGCGAGGTGGACTGGCAAATTGCCGGTTGGGCTAGAGCTTCCAATTGGACCCGCCCAAGTCCATATTCAACAGTGCAAAAACCTTCGTTTTTGGCCACTTCGTGGGGTCCATTTTGGAGACCCAAACCAAGAGGAAATTTGCCAATGTGGACATGTCGCGCCGGGCGCTCTAGGTACCAGTGGGGGAAATGGCGCAACCATCACACTTGCGAAATTCCCAAGCGCATAGTGAAGAATTGTTGCTTCGCATCTGCTGAGCGCTGTGTTGCTGCCAAAAACAGTCTGGAACAACGCTTGCCTGGAACAGCGCGCGATCACTCAGCGATATTTTTCTTGCGGTACCACCGGTGTTATAGCCATATGGCGTATGCATGTATCCCTTTTTAAAAAACACAGAAGAATGCTAAAATGAACCATCATAGCAGCAACTTGTGATGCAGGACATTGACAGATACAGATTCCTGTCATCTAAGGATACCCTGAGCAGGTTGCCGAGACCAGCCAGGAGGATGACCTTTCTGCGATGCTTCGCAGGATTGAGTGAGTGCCAGAACGCGCAAGCGTTTACTTTTTTGACCCACGGGGATGACGCACCGCAGGCAAGTAGCAAGCCCACACAGAATGGAAACTTTTAGAGCTGGCATGGTGGCGTCGAAAATCTGGCGCACAGTGCGAAACAGCGACCAGGTGTTTTTTCTTTTGTGTGAATTATTCACTTACTCAGCGACACGGGTTTTAGTGATTATAGCTTGATCAATTGGCCTGAAGACTCATGTTGGGGTCACGTGTGACATGCTGCTGGGTTGATTCAAATCACATGTTCTTCAATTTGAAAATAAACAGACATAAAGGGTTGATAAAAACGCAATCTTGGATCTAGCAAACGGCCGGACAATGAGACTTTGAGCAATGATTGGTACTGCAGTGTTTCTTTCAAAGACAGGTTGTAGATGCACGACCAATGCGTGTTGACATGGAAATTGATTGAAAGTGGTGATTTTTTTCAGCTACGGATGGAAAACAAAGATGTATTTTGTAACCAAAGGTATTTCAATTTTGTAAGTTATGCAAGATCAATTCTTGACTGCATTGTTTTTCATTCATACGCACATCCCGAAGACAGAATGCTAGATTGACAAGTTACAAGGTCGTGCAAAAAGAAATGTTTCAAATCAGCCGGGCGGAGGTCAGCCCCAATGCCCCTGGATAATGTCATCCGTGAAGTAAGTTCTGACTCTGACACTGAGTTAGTCGCTGCTCCAAAGGAGCCTGCCCGCCCGGCCAAGAGACGTCGTCGTCAGAAGAGTGCTCCGGTTGCAGAACCTAGGGAAGTCAAGAGCAGCGCGAAATTCCTGCGTTCGATCCTGGGTCGAGAGTGTTCTTGCAAGAAGCGAGATTGCTTGCAGCAGTTCATCCCGGAAGAAGACTTCCAGTCATTGCTTGAATATCGCAGACACTGGTGTGACCTTCTCAAACTGGACCAAGATTCGTATGCTTCTTGCCGTTTACTAGATCTCAACTTTCAGGTTTTGGGCCGGTGGCCTCAACAGAGATGCGTTTTCAAGCTAGTCCCCATACTACAACTCAAAATGATTATCTGATACATCCTTCCCTGCAAGCTTATTTGTGAAATTTTGCGAACACTTGGCCAGCTTTCAGAACTCATTGTGGTCATTTGTGCATTTTCCTGGGAGTTGCAGGCTGCCAGCTTGGCCGGGTCTGTCAATCCAATCGTGTTATGTTTCCAGTAGTATAGCCGGTCATGCCCTTTATTTTTTGTGGTTGGCCCAGGCCTTCGATCGGGTGCGTGATATTTTGAGAGATCACGAACGCAACGGTGAAGGAAGACTACAGTGGACCATTTTGGAGAAATCAGTTTGTCGGCAAGCTTGGAAAGTTTTGCATGGCATGGGAATTCTGGCGTGATGAGCATGTTTGCTGTTTCCCGTTTTTCTTGCTTCCCCTTTGGTCGAGTTTCGAAAATTTGGCATTGTGTAGGAATCTGGACATGGTAGTCATGTATGCAGCGTTCAGCTCCATGTGGGTTGCTCCGAGTTGCTGGGTTCAGCTCCATTTTACCCACAGAAGCTTTTTTTACAGACAGAAGCTTTTACACAAATACGCTTTTACACAGAAGCTTTTACACACATACGCTTTTACACAGATGCTTTTACACAGATGCTTTTACACACAGACACTTTTACACAGACACTTTTACACACAGACACTTTTAGCAAAGACCCTTTTACACACAGGAGCTTTTACACGCAGAAGCGTTTACACGCAGACGCTTTTACACACAAAAACTTTTACACACAGAAGCTTTTACACACAGACACTTTTACACAGATGCACTTTTACACACAAACACTTTTACACACAAACATCTTTACACCGAAACACTCTTACACACAAACCCTTTTACACACAGACACTTTTACACACAAAAGCTTTTACACACAAAAGCTTTTACACACAGACACTTTTACACAGATGCACTTTTACACACAAACACTTTTACACACAAACACTTTTACACACAAACATCTTTACACCGAAACACTCTTACACACAAACCCGTTTACACAGAAACACTTTTACACACAGAAGCTTTTACACACAGACACTTTTACACGGATGCACTTTTACACACAAACACTTTTACACACAAACATCTTTACACCGAAACACTCCTACACACAAACCCGTTTACACACAAACACTTTTACACACAGAAGCTTTTACACACAAACACTTTTAAACAAATGCAATTTTACACAAACACTTTTACACACAAACATCTTTACACAGAAACACTCGTACACACAAACCCGTTTACACACAAAGACTTTTACACACAGAAGGTTTTACACACAACACTTTTACACAGATGCACTTTTACACACAAACACTTTTACACACAAACATCTTTACAGAGAAACATTCGTACACACAAACCCATTTTCGTGCGACAAGGTTGCTCCGGGACAAGTAAAATCGCAATTTTACCTCAGTTTTCGCCGATCGACCCTCATTTCGTGCGAAAGGGTTGCTCCGGGACACGAAAAATTGCAATTTTACCTCAGTTTTCGCCAATCGGCCTTCATTTCGCGCGAAAGGGTTGCTCCGGGACAAGTAAAATCGCAATTTTACTTCAGTATCTTCAGTTTTTGACGATCGACCCTCATTTCGTGCGAAAGGGTTGCTCCGGGACAAGTAAAATCGCAATTTTACTTCAGTTTTTGACGATCGACCCTCATTTCGTGCGAAAGGGTTGCTCCGGGACAAGTAAAATCTCAATTTTTCCTCAGTTTTTGACGATCGACCCTCATTTCGTGCGAAAGGGTTGCTCCAGCACAAGTATAAAATCAGATTTTTTCCTCAGTTTTTGACGATCGATCCTCATTTCGTGCGAAAGGGTTGCTCCAGGACAAGTAAAATCGCAATTTTCCTTAGTTTTTGACGATCGATCCTCATTTCGTGCGACAGGGTTCACGTTTCGTGACTCCCCGCTGGCACCACCCTCGGCCTAAAGAGAGAAAGATAAAGAAGGCGAGAGAGAGAAAAGGGAGAGAGAAAGGAGAGAGAGAAAGGAGAGAGAGGAAGAGGGAGAGAGGAAGAGAGAGAGAGAAGATGTGAAGATGAGAAGGTGTGAGAGAAGGTGTGAAGATGAGAAGGTGTGAAGATGAGAAGGTGTGAAGATGAGAAGGTGTGAAGATGAGAAGGTGTGAGAGAAGGTGTGAAGAGGAGCAGATGTGAAGAGGAGCAGATGTGAAGATGAGAAGGTGTGAAGATGAGAAGATGAGAAGATGTGAAGATGAACAGATGTGAAGATGAGAAGGTGTGAGAGAAGATGTGAATATGAGAAGGTGTGAAGATGAGAAGGTGTGAGAGAAGGTGTGAAGAGGAGAAGGTGTGAAGATGAGAAGGTGTGAAGATGAGAAGGTGTGAGAGAAGGTGTGAAGATGAGAAGGTGTGAAGATGAGAAGATGAAATACAGACCCCCACTATTGGAAGAACCCTGCGCTCAGACGCTCTCGGGAAAAAATTCGCTGGGAATTTTCGACCCTGCCTTTGGAGGCTATGTCATTGTCAAACCAATTTTGGGTCGTTTGGGGAGCTTATGGGACGAAACAATTTGGATTTTGGGCGCCTATTTGAAGGCTATGTTGGGCCATGTGCAGCCTATGTTTTGTGCATGTCGGACAAAAAATCAACCCCCAAAGTTTCCGGGAGCTTTTTTCTGTGCATTTTCCCGGTTTTGAACCTTCTCATTAACAAAGCAGATTTTTGGCATGGTTGACTCTCGGCAAGGAAATGAGAGATTGCGTCGGCTTCACAATGCTGTTCAGAATGGCGCCAACAGTGCGCCGGTTGACCTCCGTTTCATCAAAAAACCTATGTCATTGGTTGGTGTTTCTGCTTCTTCAGTGCGAGCAGATGTGGTATCATACCTGACGCGAGTTTATGAGTCCATAGCTTGTGGAGTGCGTTGGCTTCTTTATTTGCCATTTCTGTAAAATCCAGAAACTATTTCTTGCACAGGTAGAAACCATTTGCTAAATTCTAGAGACCATTTGCTAAATACTAGAAACTATTTGCTAAATACTAGAAACTATTTGCTAAATACTGGAAACTATTTGCTAAATACTGGAAACCATTTGCTAAATACTAGAAACCATTTGCTAAATACTAGAAACTATTTGCCAAATTCTGGAAACCATGTGCAAAAAACTAGAAACCATTTGCTGAATACTAGAAACCATCTGCTAAATAAGTAGGATATGTAGAAACTTTTTTCAAGTAAAGTAGAACATGTAGAAACCATTTGCTAAATCACGTTGATTTCCCAGAAACCATTACTTGAATCAAAGGGGTAATATTTGCAAGTAAAAGTTGATATTGACCATGTTGTCAGGGCAAACCTGGTCAATCTTGGGACACGCATTTGCCAATGGTAGTTTGTGGTGAGAAAGAATTAATGTCTTTACCGCACATGCCAGTTTAATAGTACTAGAGCCTCCTTCACCCATGGCTCACCACACTGAAACTGTTGACGCTTGAAACTTGAAACCATCTAGAATCCAATTGGGAGTACTATCGCGCCATACCAGTTGCAATGCTGTTTCAACCCAGGAAAGGGTGTGTCAAACAGCAACATAAACACATACCCTGTCCCAGCGCAGTTTTTGCCAAATGCACCATACAACGCCGTGAATAATTCCACACGCGCTACCCACAAGTTGTGGGATCAAAAAAAGTGCTCCCCAAACAAAACCATGTGGCTGATAGCCTTTGCGGGTGAGTTGGGGGATGGTGTTGGCAGGCCTTTGCCACATGGCATTTTAGACACCTCAGAGGATACCCAAGTCAGGGGTTTCCCCCAAAAGTCCGGACTGGTGTGTGCCTGAACTTTTCTCTATTTGGCAAGGTCTGTCGCGGGAGCCCGGGGGGTCCGGTTTCGTCGGGAGCCTACCAGCTTAACCTTCCTAAGAGGTAAATATGAAAGGAAACTATTTCTTAAATCCCAGAAACTATTTCTTAAATCCCAGAAACTATTTCTTAAATCCTGGAAACTATTTCTTAAATCCTGGAAACTATTTCTTAAATATTTCTTAAATCCTAGAAACTATTTCTTAATCTGGGCCCCAAACCCAGAAACCATTTACAAAACCAGGATTGCTTTTACCAATCCCAACCATTGGACAAGGATAGCAGTCAATCACTTAAAGTCCAGAGATTGCCCCAGACAAGTGAGCCATGTTCTCACCGAGAGAGAGAGGCTGCCACGCAGGCACCCTTCATTCTGTTTCGTTCTATGTTCATTCTGTTTCGTTCTATGTTCTTTGACTCCCCATCTCAGATCAGTCACTGTTTCTTTCTTACTCCTCAATCTGTAAGGAGTTTCAATATGTCATAATGTGTCTATATGTGTCTATATGTCATAATGTGTCTATATGTGTCTATATTTGTCAACTTAGGTTTTGTTTATCTTTATTGGTATATTGTCTTGTTTGATGATTGAAGGCACAGTAAGGGTATCACAGAAACCGTTTCAAACCGTTTCCCGCTACTTGCTAGGTAATAGTCCGAAGCCGTCTCAAACCGTTTCAAACCAATCCCTAGAAGGCATAACTTGAATGTCTTTTTTAGTTTTTTTTTATTAATGTATTTTTTTGGGATATTTTTCAAAAGTTTCCAAAACTTCGATTTATTTAGGAAATAGTTTCTGCAAATTGGGTTGATTTAAGAAATAGTTTCTGTAAATTGGGTTTATTTAAGAAATAGCTTCTGGCCTCCACAGACAAAGAGGCCAAGGCACTCCCCAATCCATAGCCGAATCGATTCCAGATATTCGGGACTCTGCTTTGATGATCTGGCTCCGGCTAGATGTGGCTCAGCTGAGACTTTGGATGTCTATGCCATTGAATTGAAACGACAGGCAGAGGAGAATACCAACATGGTGGCCAAGCCTTGCAAAAGGCGGAAGTCTGTGGAGTTGAACATGGAGCGCACGCATGGGGAGACAGCCAAAGAGACCAAGTACTTGCCACCAGGTTTTATGAAGGAATACTATGTGCAATACGTCAGTGTGAGCACCTTACCACAGCCAGCCAGCTTTCCTACGTTCTGGCGAGTGACTGTCCCAGAATGGTTCATTGATTTGATTTCGTTCAGGATTTGATCTTTTGCGTTTATCAATCTTTGTCCTCATGCTCCACAAAGAACGTAAATGTGTTGTGTAACCAGGTGTGGCTTGCAGAATTTGCCTGCATGCAATTCAGAAGCGACAACCAGCACAGCCAATGTAGCACCTGCGTCATAGAACCATGATCCGCTGGGATCCCATCTTCGGGCTCGGACGGCACAGCTGGACATGTTCCACGCACACCTTCGTGCGCAGTATGCGGATCGAATACTATATTGGGAGAAGAGAGCTATGAGCCGATTACATGGTTCAGCCGTCTGCGTAATAGCAGACGGCATGGACCAAATGAAGTATTCGTTGCCAAGATCTCCTTTGGTCAAGTCCAAGGAATTTTCCACATTTCAACGGGTGAAGCTCCACGTGGCCTGTGCGATCTGCCACGGGCGCTTCGTTCTGTTTACTGTGGGGTTGCCCGACACCAAGAAGGACAGTAACATGGCAGTGGAACTATTGTCACATGTCTTGACCCTCCTGGAGAGACAAGGCCAATGTTTGGCAACGACGCAGCTGTATCTGCAACACGACAACACATGTCGTGAGTTTAAAAACAACGGAGGCCTTCGCTGGATGACAAGCCAAGCTAGTATTTGGCAAAAACTTGGATAGAATCCAAGCAACATTTCTCAGATCTGGTCACACACATGAAGATGTGGATGCCACCTTCTCCCAGTTATCCCGTCATTTGCTGAAGTGCCGCGACCTCCAGACACCTCATGACGTCCGGGATACAATCCAGGCCTTCCTTTCAAAAGCCAAAATGCCTTATGAGGGAGAACGCCACTGTGTCTTCTTGAATGACCCGAGAGATTGGTCTTTGGCCTGAATTGAAATTGGCTATAGCACATTCGATTTTTCCACTGGTCTTTTCTGTTTCGATTTGAACCACAATGGCCTTTGGGACACTGGTCCAAGAGCACTGGGATGATAGAAATGTTGGACTACCAAGGTCGGGTTTCCTGAGAGCAGCTGTGCCCATCCACTTGGAAGGGTTGACTGGCCCTGGTGCTCCACATCATTTGGAGATTGTCCGACGCACAGATTCAGGCAGTGATGTGATGTCACTGTATTCCTATCATTCCTAGCTGCTTATTCCTGGCTTCCGGGTTCTTTGTTGCAACGGTGGTAAACGCGCATGATACCTCTTCTCTTCCTGCAGGTTTGTCCCCAGAGGAAATCTCGCACGGCCCATGGAACATTGAGCCTGACCCAGACGATGTGATTTTGAGGCTACAGCCCGCCGGGGTGCAGTAGTCAGTGTGGTATCAAACGCATGCAACCACAACAATATATGAATCGCTCGCAAACGAGTTAATATCTGATGATGTGCCTACTTGTAAGTTTTCTTGGTAGACAATGCTGTTTTTTCTTGCCAGCTGCAAGTGACCTCGAGTTCAATGGTTGTGAGTCACCTGGTCCGGTTTAGGTGCAAGCAGTGGATGGCTTCGGCTGACTACAACCTGAGCACACTTCTGTATCCGCGGCAAGTCGGCCTGCAACTGATGCCGGTTGGGTTGCCACAAGGCGCAGTCCATTCATTCTTTTCTGTGCCAAGCACAAAGAAGCACATGGACTATTGTTAAGACTTTGTTGTTTCCTTCTGTCAGGCTTGGCGGAGAGAAGGGAAATCCCAGCAGAGCAGATCAGCCACGTTGAGAATTTTTTGCCCAATCTTCGGTTTCCTTTGTATCGCATGTCTCGGTGCGCTGACTTCCTAGAGCAGTGGATCCACCGTACACTTCCGCAAGAAGACTTGCTGGATGTTAGCGTGTGTTTAGGCTGCGCTTGGTGGCAGTCTTTCGTAGCCTTACTTGTCTTGTATCAATATTTCATGTCATATGAATGTGCCAACTCAGGTGCATGATCAAAACTGGACCGTTATCCTTGCATTCGAACGCAGCGCCCATGCATCCAGATTCCTTCGATATTCCGCCCAACATCATGAGGTCCTGGGCTTCCAATGTAAATGAATCCGGACATTCCAAAGAAAACATTTTGCCAACTTTCTTTCGATTGATTCCCTTGGTTGCATTCTCGCAACATGATGTCCTGGCGCTCGTCAGGATGGTGAAGGCCAACAAAGGGAAAGACCAGGTGAATATTTATTTGCAGAATGCCCGACGACGAATTGTTCATGTAGCAGCTGCGCGTGCGTGGAAATAATTATGCATTTGTATCTTCCAAATATCAGCGCCCTCTCTCCCATGGTGGCGGCATCACCGCTCCTGTGTCAAGTTTTGGTCTCAAATACTTTAAGTGGTGTTGGCCAGAACTTATTGGTCTCAAATAAAATCTTTAAGTGTTGTTAGGCAAAATCCAAAGCCCTAAATCCTAAACTGTAGAAATGTAGTGCGGCATGGCCTGCCAGGGGATGATCCCTCTGCGCAAGGATGACACGCACAAAACAAAGATATGAAGGATGGCTAAGCTTGGAAAAGCTTGCAGCCATAGACTTCACAAAATGCCTGCTACAGACACAAGGCATTTCGTGAAGCCTACAATACATGGGGCACATCAGTGCCATGTCTATATGCTATGATGCGCATGGTTTGCGCAGAGCCTCTATGATGCGCATGGTTTGCGCAGAGTTCCAATGGTGCGCATCGTTTGCGCATGAGTGCAGCCACTTTTGCACTTGGACTTTTGTGGCACAGTGGAAGTGCCTTTCTATGAACTTTGTGGCACAGTGGGAGTGCCTTCCGATGTGAGTGGCATCACTTTCAGTGATGCATCAGGAGTTGGTTTTCTACCGCCAAAGCGGTTCTGGACACAGTCCGCGGTGCATGGAGGATCTATGATCGTCAGGAGGCAACAGTGCCTTGGGCGGAACAGGGTCGGAATGACCGTCACAAGTGGTGACGTTGTACCTTTCACATCACGTGAAGTGATGTGGCTTTGGACGTTGGCATCACTTGGAGTGATGCCACCTTGACCCTGGGAGTGGTTGCCATCAGTTGGCAATGGCAGATGGAATTCGTCTACCCTTTTGGTGCCTTTGAATCTGCAGGAGTTTGTCTACTGAGATTCTGAGAGGGACCGTGCCGTTTTCAGTTTTTGGCTGCGGAACTGACGTTCCGTTTTTGGCCTGAGGAGATAGCGACATCAGTCTCGACTTTGGACAACAGTTTGAAGAAAGCAAGTCTGGTAGCGTTTGAGGCGACCAGACTGAGTTTTTAGCAGTTTAGGTGATGTTTTGAAGGGTTCCAAAGCAATCCTTTTTGAACCATCAAACCATCAACTTTTCAACTCCCAACCAACTCTAGGTTTTTGCATTTGGTGCACGAGACCAAATGTTGCAATTTGAGAAAGAACCGTCGGGCAACGTTTCCGACGGGCAGAGAACCAAGTTTTTTGTGTTTGAATTTTGTGAGAGTCGTTTTTGGGAGTTTTCGGAACCATTTTGGCAGAGAAGACCGTTTTGAGGTCGAGGAAGGACATCTGAGAATGTCCACTTTCCGTTTTGTTTTTGGCTCTAGGCGAGCTAGGGTTTCAGAACAGAAGCCGCAAGCATGAGTAACAAGACTGCAGAACATCTGCTCTTAGTGTGCGTGGTAAAAGGCCTGAAGCGTTTTACTAAGAAGTTAAGAGTTGTGAAACTTAGTTGAATAGAGAAACTGCTGGGTGTGCGCGTTCGGTGCCCCTTTGGTTGTCGGTGGTTTTGTCTTCCGTCTTTCGGTTCAGGTCGTCTTTCCTTTCTGTTCGGTTGGTTTGGGGTGTCAGTTTTCCACGTGGTAGCGGAGCAGTTGCTCCTGGTCCGCTCCATGGCGTCCCCGCAGAGGTTAGAGGAAGGTTTGGCAGGTCTGCCAGGTGTTCCAGGTATGCCAGTGATGCCAGGTATGCAGGCTTGGGTAGGTGCTGCAGGTGCTACAGGTCAAGGTCAAGGTCCTGTGAATGGACAAGGTACCGCGTCTGACCCTTGGGTAGCAGAAACAGACTCGTGGGAGTTTGCTAGGAATCAAAGGGTCCCTGACACACCCCTCACGACCCCAACTACCAGGTCAGCAGCAAGGCAGCAGGAAACCGGTGAACAACCTTGGGCGAGGTACGTAGGAGCGTTAGGAAGACCCCAGGTGAATGGACCACAACAGGGCTATCAGCAGCAGCAGTTTCCAGGTCAGGCAGGGCACATCTTGTTTGGAGGTTGTCAAGGGCAGCAGCAGCAAAGCGTAGTTACTCCACAAGCGGCACACACAGCAGCAGTGCACGCATGCGGAAACCCGACTGTGCAGCAGCAAAATGCTACGGAAGTGAGTCAGTTAAAGAACATGGTTTTTGCCTTGCAGCAAGGGATGAATCAGCTTTTCAGTTTGTTTCGAAGTGCTGGACCGGTGGCAGCAGCGCCTGTGAGTGGTGCGATGCTGGGACCTCAGTTTGGAGGACAGAATCCAGTGAATCAGCAGTATCTGAACGGACAAGGGAGTCAACAGTTTCAGAATGGACAGGGAAATCAGCAGTTTCAAAGTGGGCAGTTGGGCCCTGGTTTGTTAAATGCCCCGTTTGGGCAGCAGTGTCCGCAGCCGTTTGGCCGACAGTACGGTGAGGAGGCAGAACGTTCTCCAACAGCCCTGTTTGGGCGAAATTTGGAGCAGGGACATTCCAACAGTGGCTTGGATGTCTTGAGCAAGACAGAGAAGTGGTTGCCAGGGCTTCCGAAGCCTGGTCATGAAGGTTGGAAAGATCGTGAATCAGAGATCGTAGGATTTCACGATTATCTGGTGGAGCTACGGAGTTGGGCTTCATTAGTATCTCCAAAGTTTGCTGCAGAGATCTCCGAAGCAACTGTGACCCCTCAGGAAATAGTGCTCAGTTCGCTGTCGCGAGACCAACAGAGCAGGGCTGGACGTTTGCTGTCCATATTGCGAGCGGCATTCAGTGGACATGGTCGTGCTGAAAATATCATCAGAGCCTTCTGTGAGGGTGTTTCGTTTGGTGCTGGATTGAGCAGCGTTGGTTTCAATGACAATGGGTTTGAGTTGCTACGAGTCTTGACAAAAGAGTTTACTTTGCAGAGCCGAGCTGAGGCATTGGCCTTACGGGCTGAACTGCTACAGAGACAATTCATGCCTGCTAAGGGCGAGACTTCACAAGGGACAATCGTTGCTGACACAATCAGGCGCTTGGAGACTTCATTGGCAAAGTACAACAAGCTGGTGTCTACACTGCCGAACATCGTTGATCGTTCAGGTGTTGAAGTCAGCGAAGCTGACCGCTTGGTACTGCTACTTCGTTCTTTGCCAGCAGCATGTGCTGAGTTTGTTCTTCTTCACAGCGCCCAGGAGAATTATGTGATGGCAAGAGAAACAGCTTGCCGATACGAGACCCAGAGAAGGTTGTATCTTGACTGGAATTCGTTTGGAAAGCCAGGTAAGTTGATTCACAGTGTTGCCCAGGCTGAAGTGTATGACATGGCAGCGGGTGACGGTGAAGGCCAAGAACAAGGTGAGAACATGGTGGATTCCGTGACGGGTCGCTGTTCCAAGTGTGGGAGCAAGCGGCATGAGTCTCATGGGTGTTCAGTGGATCTTTCGAAAACCAGATGTTTCAAGTGTGGCGATATGGGCCACGTTTCAATGAATTGCCGCAAAGGTGGTGCAGCCAATTCGACGCAGAAGGGCAGTGGCCAGTCTGCAAACCCTGGAAAAGGTCAACAAGGCTCAAAAGGAGCAGGTGGTTCGAAAGGAAAAGGTGGGAAGCCCTCAAAGGGCAAAGGCAAAGAGAAGGGTAAAAGCAAGGGCAAAGGGGGCAAAGGAAAAATGTTCGAGGTGGCTCAGGAGAGCACTGCTGATCAGGAGGATTGGTGGTATCAGGACGGTGATGGTTACTGGTGGACAGCCACCAGTGAATGGTCAGAGATTGCCGCAGTGAGTGGCGAACCAGAAAAAGAGAGCTCACCTGCCGAACAAGGAAAGAGTGCTGCAGTTGGAAGTCAGCCAGTGACTGCCACCCTGATTGCCGGTTTGTTTTCAGCCAGTTTTTGCTTTTCCAACCACCTTATTTCAAACAATAACCAAAACATGCCTGTGAAACCAGTGGATTTTTCGTTTGTGCATGGCTCAGAACGTTTGTCAGCTGTGAGTTTATTTCAGAACAGTGTTTTTCCGATTTGCTTCAAGGTGCAAGGTGAACAGGTTTTTGTGGATGAAACTTTTGGACAGTTTTGTGACCTTGTGACAACATGTGATGAAGCATGGACCGTAGAAATAGTGCATGAGATGTTCTCCAGTCATCGCCTGGATCTCAGAGCTCAGGGAAACTTGCAAGGGAACCACAGTTCAGTTGCTGGATGTTTCAGAGAGAGTTGGCGTAGGGACTGGTGCATGGTCGAGTCTTCACAACATGGCATGGTAGGATCATGTGAAACGTCAGTTGCAGATTTCACCACCTGTTTTGCGTCTGTCATGGATGCCAGTGATTCGAAGGGATTGCAGGGCACAGAACATGTCAGGACCTCAGAGTTTTTGATCTTTCAGGGAATCATGCAGGTCTGCAACAGAGGATTCATGAGGAATTTCCGGGTTTGAAGTGTGATACCGACAGTAGGGACCTGGACAATGTTTGGACTTGCATGGATTGGACACCAACTGTTTGCAGTTTGAACGTCGTGTCAACCTGGTTTATTGGAAGAACGGTTTTCATGTTTTTCATGTTGTTTTGCATTTTCCAGTTTTTCATTGGTGTCAGTGCTTTTAATGGTTTTTCAGACCGTCATCTGGAAGACAACAGGAATCTCAATCCCATTTTGTGCAACCTGCAGCGGACCACAGGGGGATATTGGTTGTTAGACTCTGGAGCCGCCGCTACAGTGGTGTCTCATGAGACTTACGAGCGTTTTCGAGCAGCTGGGCAGACGAGTTCTCTTAAGCCAAGCACTCAGAGTTTCTACGCTGCAAACGGATCATCAGTGGTTGTTGCAGGTGAAACTCAGCTTCAGGGATACGTCTTGGCCACTGCACATGGAAACACACAACCAGTGTCCATGAGTTTGACAGCCGTTGTAGGGAGTACACAGCATGATATCATGTCAACTAACCAGTGTGTTGCACGTGGTTGGACTTTTGCTTTCTCTCAGGAAGCCAGTTGCATGAAACATGAGGCGTCAGGTTTAGCTGTCAATGAAATTACCTCTTGGGGAGGTTGTCCATGGGTTGTTTTCACTCCGACCATTTCAGAGCTTTCAGCTGTTTTGGCAAAGCCTGCACCTCAGCTTTCAGACCGCTTGTTGCAGCCGATTTCACAAGTTCCAAGGGTCTCCAGTGATGTAACTGCGCAACATCATGAACCCCTAATGAGCCCAATCAGTAAAGTCGCTTTGACCGCCGACTTCATGTTTGTGGAGGACCACAAGGTCTTGGTGTTTCATGAGCGATCAACAGGTTGCATAGGAGCTGTCGTGATGACAGGTGATGTAGCCAGGGATAGGAATGTTTTCTGTAAGTGGCTCACCGAAATGGGAATCTCTTCAACAGGTGGAATTGCAATCCAGTTGGCAACGGATGCAGAACCAGCTGTGGCAGCTTTCATAACCTCAGCTTCAGAGTCAATGCAATGGCTTGTTGAAAAGGCCCCTCCTCAAGGACATGAGTTTGTAGGAGCTGCTGAACGTTCCGTCCGTACTTGCAAGGAGGGAATCTCAGTGATTAGGTCAGAATTGGCCGATCAGAATTTGGGTTTGAACTTGACACCACAGTCTCTTTCAGACATTCTCCGGTTTGTCATTCGCAGAATCTGTTTTCGCATGCACATGGCAGTGATAGGACTCCGAAGGTCCGAAGGAGTTGGCATCAGGTTCAAAATTGAGGGAGCCAACGTTTGCTCCGTTTTTGGCCAGGGTTCTTGCCGAGATCCCTGACAGTATCAAGGAGAAGTATCCTATGGCTTCGAGGTTCGTTGATGCGATCTACATTGCGCCTGTTTGGAACTCAGTTGGTTGCGAGGTCATTGGAGAATTATCATCCAATGGAGAGATCGGGTTTGTGCGATTCCATGCAAAGAGTATCAAACATACCATTCCTCTCACTTGGTCAACGAAGTTCTATCAAGACTTGCATCAACTTGTTGTCAGAGAACATGAGCATGGGAGCGTATCTGAACCACCACCGCAAGTGTTGCCAGCTGCGAACCCATCTTTGAGATGCCACAAGTCAGGGCCACCTGTGGACTGGGTCAGGGGAGAAGGTGGGTACACGGACAACTGCATCGCTTGCAGGGGCCTCAAGGAGCAGGGGACAAGAAAAGGACTTGTGCACTCTCGTGCATGTTGCAAAAGATATGAAACCTTTTTGAAGGACCAGGCTTCAGGTGTAGGAGGTGATTCTGTTCCACCACCCGTTGAGCCAGCTGAACCTTTTCCGCCTGATTTCTTCAACGAGCCAGCTCAACCACCTGTGAAAGATGGTACCAAGCCAGAGCCTGGACCTTCAGTGTCTTTTGATGATGATGCCAAATCCTTGTCTTATGAGCCATCAATTGCTGAAGAAGCAGTGGAACCTGACCCGGACTTGGATGACCAAGTTCGTCATGGTAAACGTTTGAGTTTAGAAGATTATGGAGATGTTTCTGAGAGGCCTGTCAAACGGAGGATGTATGGAAAAACCTCAGATCTGGAAGGAGCTTTCCCACCGCCTTCCAGGGGAACTCCTCGTGGTCCTGGCCTTAAGAGACCATCTGAGATGAACTTGAAGGAGCTTGAGGATGAATTGAAGAAAGATGACATAGATGCCATCCATTCTGAGTCACAACATTGGGTTTCTCCGTTCATGAATCTTGCCGCTGTTGTGTCAGAGCCACCCAGCATGTCACACATGTTGGAAACTGAACCAGTAGCCAGTGTCCGTTTTGACTCTCAAGGGTCAATACCTGAGTCGGTTGTGGTCAACATGGGTGGGATGCCAATCAAAATTTGGTGTCCTATCGACGCGGTAGATGACACGACTGGAGAAATTTTGGATGGAAAGAAATGTCATTTGGGAATGAAGAAAGAGATTGAAGGTTTGGAAGAATGCCAGGCAGGTGATTGCTACACAGTTTCAGAATTTGAAAGGTTGAAAGAGAGAACGGACCACCCAATCAGGCTCATCAGCACGCGTTGGGTGACCAACGCCAAGGGAGACGAAGTTCGCTCCCGCATGGTAGTGAAAGATGTGAAGAACAAGGACTCAGCTAGGTCTTTGGGGATTTCATCACCAACTTTGGGAGCTGATGCGTTTCAATTGTTTCTCACCATTTGTTCAGCTTGGAACTTCATTGTCTATACTTTGGACATTAGTCATGCTTTTATGTATACGCCTCTCCGTTGCCGCAATGTCGCAGTTAAGCTTCCCATGTCGTGCTCCACGGAGTCGGGAGAACCAGTCATTCTGCACTGCGCCAATGCTCTCAACGGGCTTAGGTCAGCAAGTTTGGAATGGCTATTGTTTCTGCAACAGCAACTGAGCGGTATTGGGCTTCATACAGATGGGGCCGAGCCTTGCTTCATGGCTGAACGATTGCCTTCCGGCCGCATGGGCATGGTGATTGTCTATGTGGATGACTTGGCGGTGGCATGTGAGCATGAGGATGATTTCAAGCTCATCATGGGCTGTTTGCAGAGAAAGCTGAAGGTGAAACATACAGGGACAATTGAGCGTGAAGGTGGGCAGGTGACCTTTCTTGGACGTGAGATCGTCCGGCTTCCAGGTGAGAGTGCACTTTACGTGCATCTTCCAGAGAACTATTTGGAGAAGACCTTTGAATTGTGGAACCTGAAGCCGTCCTCCAGTGGGAAGAAGATACCATGCCCCAACGTTTTGGCCATCCTTGACCAAGAAACACCCGGCTCACCTCCTTTGTCGGGTGAGGCATATGCAAGATTCAGGTCAACGTTGGGCAAAGTGGCTTGGATGAGCCAGACCCGTCAGGATCTGAAACATTTCATTGCTTTGCTGGGTACGGTTCAAGCGGAACCGACGCAGGCCGCAGAAAAGGCCTTGCGGTCTTTACTCAGATTCTTGGTGACTGATGACAGTGTTTCCCTTCGCTTGCCATCTGAACATGGTCTTGGAAGCAAGGTTTTCAGAGAAGTGGTGGCCTATACGGATGCATCACATGCACCATCGACCAGAAATCGCCGAGGAGTCAGTGGAGGTGTATTGACCTACTTGGAAGGAGTCGTCAAAACTTACTCTCGGCACCAGACCTCAATCAGCTCGAGCAGTTGCGAGAGTGAATTGCAGGCGATACAAATGGTGGTTCAAGAAGCTGTCGTTCTTTCCCGATTGGTCACTAGGATCATGCGGGCGCTTGGCCTTTTGAAAGATGGCGAGTTCGCTGTGGCCCGAATTTATTCGGACAGTGAGAGCGCTTTAAAGCTCTTACAGACAGTAGACCTTCCGCGTAGATCCAGACACATCGATATAAAGATTGAATGGCTTCGGGAGCTGGCTGGGAATGGCTTCATGTCCTTACATCATCTTCGTGGAGACTTTTTAGTAGCTGACTTGTTAACTAAATGCCTCCAGACTAGCCGATATATGGAACTACGCCAAGCCATGGGCTTCGTTTAGAAGCCCCTGACAACAGCTCTCCTCTCCCTGATGAGGCCAAAGCCCAAGTCTGTCGGCTTCGCCTTGTTGGAAGTATGCTGCGATGAAAATTCTCAACTTCGAGCTGTCTGTCAAGCTTGGGGAATTCCCTATCGTGGGATCACCTATGGAGTGGAAATGCGATCTGTTTACGAAAGAACCCGTGACTGGGTTGCAACTTTGAAGGTGGGTCTGCATGTGCATCTTTCAACGTTGTGCATCCAGTGGATCGCCTTTGAGAAGGTTCGTAACTCCAGGACAAGCCTCAGAACTTGATGCAACTTGGGATGAACACATCTCAGGTGCCGTTGCCTTCATGAAATTCGGAGAGAGTACGAGCTTTGAGCACCAATTTGCAGAAGCTGGGAGATCATTTGAGAGACAGATTTGGAACATGTCGATGTGAAAGGGATCATTCGAATTTCAACTCTATCACGTGGCGCAAGACAGCGCTCTACAACAAGTGCCTGGCTGAGCAGTTTGTTTTTGGATTGCAGTTGCATTATGGGAAATCAGACAAGAGTGGAACCTAGCGAGCCAAAGTTTTTTTTTGGAAGTTTGTTTGGATGATGTCAGAGACAATTTCACCCAAAACAAACGCGAAACGTGCATTTCAGTTTTTGTTTTGTGTTGCTTGGGAACCAAACAACTAATATGCCGATGTCAGTTGTTTCACATGTACATGACAGTCTTGAAGATGTCATTTGCAAATCTGAGACAAACGTGAGACGGCCACATGTCATAGACAAACGTGAAACGTCCACATGTCACAAACAAACGTGAAACGTCCAGATGTCAGAAATCAAACGAAACGTTGGGATGTCAGAGACGGAAACAGTTGTTTGTGGAACTCATTTGAAACCAAACGTAAGACGTTTTTTTTGGAAGTGTTCACAGTGATGTCATTTTTCTTGTCATTGTGCGTGCACACCACATACACACAAGCGTAATTTAATTCGCGAGGCAGGTTTGAGGTACGCAGGTCTGGGTAAAGGACCCTGGCTCTCATGTTGCCTGGATGCGTTTTGTTTGTCTTTTGGGCCCGTCTGGCCATTCAGTGGATTCCTCAGTTTAACTGAGTGGAGAGCTCTTTCTTTCGGTAGGCGCTCTGGCCTCTAAGGGTGTGTGACTTTGTGTGGTTTTTAGTAGCCAGTCTCGGGCGCCGGTTGCAATGTCGGCGAACTCCAAGTCCGCTGGTTCTTCAAGCCGCCGTGCAGCCGCCGAGGCAGAGCGTGAAGCTCGAGAGGCCCGTGAGGCTCGTGAGATGAGGGCGCTGGGCTGAAGGAAGAGATCCACCTCCAGGCCAAACACTTGGAGACTCAGTTTGGAATGGATTCCTTCAGTGAGGAGGAAGGATCGGATGCCAGCATCCAGCTCATCAGTGAGCACTGGACGCCGGTTCATATCCGCAAGGATATTCCGCTCCCTGCGGGTATCCGTTCGTGGGGCCAATGGTGCAACACGATGATCAGTCTCCCAAAGTACTAGAAGATGGACTGGTCATTCAGTGACATAGCCAACAAAGGACGAAGCGACAAGGAAATCCGCAAGTACCTGCTGTGGGTCCACAAGACCTACTGTACAGGTACTGCGCAGGCCACAGAACTGGTCAACGGACGTCTGGTGTTGATTCACCAGATTCGAAACCAGGCGACTGATCTGGCTCTTTTCCTTGAAGCCATGGACTTCCAAGGGGAACTGGAGTCAGCTGACACCTCTGAGGGTGCCGGATATGTCCGCACCTTCAGGCAGGGTGCATAGCTGGCAGCCCAAGACCGAAGGTGGGTGTAGAAATGTAGTGCGGCATGGCCTGCCAGGGGATGATCCCTCTGCGCAAGGATGACACGCACAAAACAAAGATATGAAGGATGGCTAAGCTTGGAAAAGCTTGCAGCCATAGACTTCACAAAATGCCTGCTACAGACACAAGGCATTTCGTGAAGCCTACAATACATGGGGCACATCAGTGCCATGTCTATGCTATGATGCGCATGGTTTGCGCAGAGCCTCTATGATGCGCATGGTTTGCGCAGAGTTCCAATGGTGCGCATCGTTTGCGCATGAGTGCAGCCACTTTTGCACTTGGACTTTTGTGGCACAGTGGAAGTGCCTTTCTATGAACTTTGTGGCACAGTGGGAGTGCCTTCCGATGTGAGTGGCATCACTTTCAGTGATGCATCAGGAGTTGGTTTTCTACCGCCAAAGCGGTTCTGGACACAGTCCGCGGTGCATGGAGGATCTATGATCGTCAGGAGGCAACAGTGCCTTGGGCGGAACAGGGTCGGAATGACCGTCACAAGTGGTGACGTTGTACCTTTCACATCACGTGAAGTGATGTGGCTTTGGACGTTGGCATCACTTGGAGTGATGCCACCTTGACCCTGGGAGTGGTTGCCATCAGTTGGCAATGGCAGATGGAATTCGTCTACCCTTTTGGTGCCTTTGAATCTGCAGGAGTTTGTCTACTGAGATTCTGAGAGGGACCGTGCCGTTTTCAGTTTTTGGCTGCGGAACTGACGTTCCGTTTTTGGCCTGAGGAGAGATAGCACACCGTGAATTCGTTTGAGACATCAGTCTCGACTTTGGACAACAGTTTGAAGAAAGCAAGTCTGGTAGCATTTGAGGCGACCAGACTGAGTTTTTAGCAGTTTAGGTGATGTTTTGAAGGGTTACCATCAACTTTTCAACTCCCAACCAACTCTAGGTTTTTGCATTTGGTGCACGAGACCAAATGCTGCAATTTGAGAAAGAACCGTCGGGCAACGTTTCCGACGGGCAGAGAACCAAGTTTTTTGTGTTTGAATTTTGTGAGAGTCGTTTTTGGGAGTTTTCGGAACCATTTTGGCAGAGAAGACCGTTTTGAGGTCGAGGAAGGACACCTGAGAATGTCCACTTTCCGTTTTGTTTTTGGCTCTAGGCGAGCTAGGGTTTCAGAACAGAAGCCGCAAGCATGAGTAACAAGACTGCAGAACATCTGCTCTTGGTGTGCGTGGTAAAAGGCCTGAAGCGTTTTACTAAGAAGTTACGAGTTGTGAAACTTAGTTGAATAGAGAAACTGCTGGGTGTGCGCGTTCGGTGCCCCTTTGGTTGTCGGTGGTTTTGTCTTCCGTCTTTCGGTTCAGGTCGTCTTTCCTTCCCCCTTTCTGTTCGGTTGGTTTGGGGTGTCGGTTTTCCACGTAAACTATACGGCTTAAACCCTAAATTCCCACCCATGCCTGCTTAGGCCGTTCCCACCCACTTCAAGGGTGGTCAGACACTGAAGATGCCCGGCAGCCATACACCACGGCTCTATAGTCAAAGACAATGGGTGGTGCCATTGGAGAGTGGTCAACTTGGGCGCCTAGGGCCCTAGCACTGCTTAGTGCTACTCAAGGCTCTGCCCAGAGGATGGCGTACTGCCATGCCAATCATTTGCTATGGTCCCACATAGGGATCTTCTATGAGGAAGATCAATACCCTAAACCCCCAAGGTAAAGCGCCGGGGGGGGCAGCCCTAATCTGAGCCTCAAAAATCGCCATTTTAAAGCTTGTTTAGTCTTCAACGGCCGTTTTTGGGCAAGGGTCCCCCCTTTGAGCCGGGACAGGTTTTGCCACATCTGCCTCCAAAAGGCTCCTGGCCAGGATTTGGCCCAAAACGGCTGTTTCCCAATGATTCCAGAAGGCGCTTGTAATTGCCGGCTTGCAAGCCCCAAAGTCCAAAATCTGGCTCCAAAAGGCTCCCGGTCAGGATTTGCCCCAAAACGCCCGTTTCCCATTGATTCCAAGGCTTAACCAAAAAGGTGGGAATTTTAGGGCTTGCCCTAAACCCTAACAAGTGGAAACTTGGGCGGCTTGCCTCCTATCTGGAGAGGGGTGGGTAAGAAAGGTATAAGCCCCAGATCAAAGGGCCCGGTGTCATGAAGCCGCGCAACCACAACCACAATGATACGCCGCCACCTTCACACCCTTCAGGTGTGTGGTGGCGCCGTCCATGCACTCGAACTTCTGCTGCCACGCAGCTGAGACGCCCTAAACCCTAAACCCTAAACCCTAAACCATACGGCACAAAAACGGGCAGCATTCCGTTCCTGTATAATGAAGTTAAATTTTGGTCTCAAAGACAGTTTTGATCCAGAAGCAACATTTGAGACCAAAGTGAGATGGATTTAGTCTCAAACAGCATCTTTCAACCAATCATACCTTTGTGTTGTTGTTTTTTTGCTAAGCAAACCTTGGCGCCCAACCCAAATTTGAGACCAAAACGGGATCACTTTGGTCACTAACTTGTGCCCTCTGGCGGGGGGGTTGTTGAGACTGGCTCGCTTGAGATGCTGTCGGTCCGTTTGATGACATCAGTCACAAACACTATAATATAGTTTCTCATTCTTTGTTTTGTAGAGCTGACAGCATGTGATGTGCTTGTGACCAAAGTGACCTGAGAATGGTCAATAAATGCAGGTTTGGATTGAAGGACATGTTGGTGACCGAAATGGTCACAGAACATCGGCGAAAAACCAATGATGATGATGCAAACCAATTAGTGACCAAAGTGAGGTACTTTCCGTCACTAACCGATAGCTTCAAAGGTTGGAACCTCTTGCAATTTGTCTTTGCAAGTCAGTGACCAAAGTGATCTGTGAATCGTCACTAACCCATAGGCCCAGAGATCGGCGTTTTTTGTGAGGGATTTATCATCCAGGCAAGTTAGTGACGGAAGTGACCTGTGAATGGTCACTAATCCACAGCCCCAGAGATTGTATTTTTTTGTGACGGATTTTACTAGTGGATTAGTGACGGATCTGTGCGTTGTTTTAGTGACGGATATTTTGTTTATTTTGTGAAGGAAACCGATGTCAATTTAGTGACGGATGTTGCTGATATTTTTGTGACGGAAACCGATGTCAATTTAGTGACGGATGTTGCTGGTATTTTTGTGACGGAAACCGATGTCAATTTAGTGACGGATATTGCTGATATTTTTGTGACGGAAACCGATGTATTTTTAGTGGCGGATATTGTTATTATTTCTGGTAGATGAAATTTGTATTACTATTTTAATTAGATGGATACCGGTGATCTTGAAATTGCAGAGATTGATTTTGAGGTTCCATGTCCATGTCGCAATTCAACACTGTAATTTTTGGACCTTGCGGTATCAGTTACTTTCAGAGATGCCTCGTCCTTCAGAATGCCAGCATTTTCTTTGAATCTTTTTGGCTCCAGGAAGTCTGTTTCTTCCACTAACTGACGGTGCCCCCTGGAGCAATCATGAGCAGCAGCAAGCGTAAGTCAGGTGGTGGGGATGCCAATGTGAGGCGTGCCAAATCCTCCAGATCGTTGGAGACTCCTGCGAAGTTGCAAGAATACCCCTGGATAGGGCAGATCACCGAGCTGCTACCTGGTTCAATTCCTTTTGCTTGTTGTCATTTGTACTTTGAACACTGGGGTCTTATAGCAATGTGTTATGTCAACATCTGTCACTCATCAAGTTTCAGGTTCGAGTCCAAAGTCGTGGCCATGGGGCCCGAGGAGTGGCTGAACCAAGAGTTTCCCACGGAGGACGGCGTTTGTGCTCCCTTGGTTTCATGTGGAACCTTGCAGATTGTGTTGTGCGACTTCTGAATCCGGAGATGATGCCATCAGGATGCCAAGTTGGACTTTGCCCGTTGGATTGACAAGATCTGTCCTGCGAACCCAGCGTTGCAAACTCAATTCTGCTTTGAGGCCCATGGTTCTGATTGAAATTATTTGAATTCTGTGAATGTTTAGATTCGGCTTCTGCAGTGTCAAGCTTTGGTCCTGCTTGATTAGATGAATCATCGTTCTTTCCTGCCTAGGTGGCACTATGCTGTGGAAACCAATGGCGCTCAATACCTGCGGCCCTGGATGCTGGCCTGGCGCGCAGACTCCGGGTGCAGTGGGCACATGGAACCAGATCAATTGATTGCCATTGCTGAGTTGATTTGCAGTGAAGGGTTGCTTACTGGCAATGTTGTGCTTTGTATGACCAGATTCAAGGATGAATCAGTTTGTTAGAAAAAATGATCATATTAGTTAGGTGCGCCAATGCCGATTTTTAGGTTTCTGAGCGACAGCAACGTCATTGGTGGCGAAAAGATCAGCGCCACCCAGATCCCGGATGCATTTCTGGAGAAGAAGTGGGAGAAATTGCAACCAATTTTTGGAGGCCTGTAGATCTGTATTTATAGAAGTTCTTTTGCATTGCATCTTTCACTAGATGGAAATGTCTCATAGTCCCTTGCTCTGATTCAGATGGCCATTTGCTCGCGCCCTTTTCCGTGGGCTATGTGAAGGGCTGGAAACGCAGTGTGTGTTTGCTGGTGGTGCTTGCGGCCGTGAAACGGTTGGACTTGGCCGAGAGCATCCCTGAGCGTACGAAGGTCCATTCGATGGTGTTTCAAACCGCTTTCATGGTGTCCTTGCTGTCATTGTGAACCTGGTTAGGTCTCCTGGGGCACTGTACATGCATCATTCCAGAATTTTGCACACGTCCGCTCCAAAGTCTTCGGCAACAGAGGATTGATACTTGCTTCCCACTTCACGCTTGTGTGACTGTGTTTCATGTTTTTCGAAAGACTGACTTGGCGTTCTTTTGAAATTTGCCAGGAGCAGCGATGATTGCTGCAAGCACAAGGAAAGCTCCAAACGCTTTTCACTTCCGCAGGCAGATTCAAATTTTGCAGAAAGCCGGAGGTGGTGGAGTTGAGCAGCAGTTTCAGGCTCGGTTACATTGTACTTGGAAAAGATTTTCATATTGAATCACGTGTTGGAATTTGTTTGATTTCAGACAGGCCGCCATTCATGCTTGCTTTCAAATTGCGAGGACTGGCATAAAGCGACCTCGGTCGCGAAGGCTTTTGGCATTGGCCGTCATGAATCTGAAAGCGTCAGCAACCTCATGGTGAACATCCAGAAGGATATTGTGCAAGAGCTTTCCGCAGCTGTGCGAAGTCGAGGAATGTCAAAATTCATCACCCACGAATGTTTGGCCAAGGACGTCCTGAATACTTCATGGTCTTCAGGCATTGGAGGAACGAAGAGAATGGAGAACTAGTTTCATGGCCGCAAAATGTCAGTGAGCACTGAGTGTCCTGAGATGTTGAGACAAACTTATCATGTTTGTTCTCAATATTCAGAGCGACCAGATGGCTGAACCTTCTTTTCCCAGTGACCAGCTCACCCTGTGGCGAGTTGAAAGTTATATTCACCTTTGAATAGTCAGTATAGAGTTCATGATCTTCAAGTCCTTTAAGGCTCTGCTCTTCGTGGAGCACCTCAAGGCCGACTACGATTCCAGTGCCCCTCAGATGAGGAAAGCGTGTTCTTACCAGGTTGGCGTTCAGAGGCATCAAGTTTGTGGTGGATTCCTGCACTACCTTCGTGAGCTGGAAAGGATCTCCCCAGCTTCTTCTTTCCAACAAGCGGCAGCTGATCTGAAGCAGATGTTCTTGCGTGGACTGTTGGATCCTGACCTCCAACATGCTCTCGCTACAACTTTTCCACCTTCCGACCTGAAAGCAATATCGGCTTTCAGGCTCTTTTCAATCAAAAGACAATTCCGTTTTGTACTCATCTTGTGAATTTCTAATCAAAGGTGTTTTTAGTTCTGTTGTTTGTTTTTCCCTGGAAAAGGCCATACCATGCTCGTGTGGAGCAAGCAGCTCGGACTGCCAAAGAAGAGACCGAGACTCGAATTGCTGAAGAGTTGCGCGCAGCGGAGGCCAAACAGGTCATGACCAAATTGCAGAGTGACATGTCGATGCTGAAGGAGCGCATCCCAGATGAACGTGTTCAAGCTCAGAACACAGCCAAGGACATCAAGTATCTCCGAGATCGACAGATGCGTCTCGACCTCAAATTTAATGCTTGACGGAAAAAATGCTTTTCTGTTTCCTGCTTTGATGTTATTCACCTGATGGGCCTACGCGATATGACATTGTCGAGTTTGTATGTCAGGCAAGGGCAAGAGTATGTCGAGAAATATTCGGCTGAGCGCATTTCCTTGGTGGAATATGCTGACGGGTACAAGAATGTGATGGTTTCCTGAAGTTCAAGGAGCAGTTCCGTGGCATTTCTGGGAAGCAGTGCTTTGGCGTGGCTATGGTTACATTTTGTGGTTTTGTTGTATTGATTCCCCTTTTCCTTTTCGCTTTGATTCTTGATTCCCACTTCCCTTTTGGTTTTGTACTTGTGTTGATAAACATGTGTTACAATCAGGTATTTGATTGCCTCGCTGGATGCCACTGTGTGGCCTGCAAACAGCAATTATTTGAACGAGGCCGTCAGCCACATGGCTACTGTGCTTGCCATGAGCAGCTCTCATATTGGGTTCGTGCAGTATCCCGTGATCAAAAGCCAAACCAACCAGACGACGCTCGTCAAGCACAGGCACGCTTTGGATTTGCTACTCTTGAAAGCGGGCCTGACTGCTTACCACATGGTGCAGATCGCCTATGACAAACCAGACAGCTCAGCCAGAGACACCCGCTGCCTGTCCCAGCTTGCAATGGTGGTGTTCCACGCAAACTTTGATGCGTGCGATTTCATGGAGAGTCGTGCTGTCAAGGAAGGTAGGTTTGGCCCTGTTCCGTTGATCCGCGTGGCTGACATGATTGGTTTTGATGAAGCCAGAAGGCCAGCTCCGAGTGCAAGAACTGAACAGATGCTAGACTTATCCTTTTTTTCTGGTGGGGACAGGTTCTCTGAGGAATTTTCAATTATTATTTCATTTGTCCAGTTGCACCAGGGTAGCAGTTGGCACAGTTGTGAGCAAACGATATTTACCGAAAAATTTCCCGCTTGGCTTTCTCATCCGCCTTCGATGGGGAGGTTGTTTGAAATTGAAATTTCCCTAGTAGCAGCCGTCAGATGGATGTTCATTTTTGTACACCTGGGTTTTTGCGACCAGCACAAAGCCAAGGAAAGGACTGCCGTGCCATGACCTCATGGTTGATGCCATGTTGCAGGGCATGAATGTGTCGGCTGGAGACCGTGTTATCTTGCTGGACCTACTGCCGAACAGGCTGCTTGACATGAATGCTTTTAATGGTTGGGATATAATGAGTTTACTGTTTGCAATCATCATTTTTAACCTTTTTTGCGGCGAATCATACCCAGCAGGTGGGCGGAGTTTGCTCGTGCTATGACTGAGCGTTCAGTGCAAGGACAGAAACTTGATGTGCGCTATTTCGGTTTGCTCCCAACAGAAGTGTTCAGTGTGGAGTGTAAAGTCTCAGGTGAGGAGTGAGAAGTGTAAAGTGCAAAGTGTAAAGTGTGGAGTGTAAAGTGTAGAGTGTGGAGTCTAAAGTGTAAATTGTGGAATGTGGAGTGTGAAGTGTAGAGTGTGGAGTGCGGAGCTTCCCCCATAGACACGGCGACGCCACAGGAAAACCAGAGACTCGAGACGAGACACGTGGGTGCAAAAAAAACGAGCATTTCGTACGAGACTTCCTCCAATTTTGACATTTTCAACAGGTTATCAAACAAGTTTGGAATGTCACAAAGTGCCACGCCTGCCACGCAAAACGACATGACAACCTGCTTGGACACATTCGAATAGGACATGTTTTCCAGCTTCCCCTAGACACGGCGACGCCACAGGGAAACGAGAGACTCGCGACAAGACACGTGGATGCAGAAAAACCAGCATTTCGTACGAGACTTCCTCCAATTTTGACATTTTCGACGCATCATCAAACAGGTTGGAATGTCACAAAGTGCCACGCCTGCCACGCAAAACGACATGACAACCTGCTTGGACACATTCGAATAGGAGAGGTTTTCCAGCTTCCCCCATAGACACGGCGACGCCACAGGAAAACCAGCGACTCGAAACAAGACACGTGGATGCAGAAAAAACAGCATTTCGTACGAGACTTCCTCCAATTTTCACAGTTGGCAACATGACAAAAGGACAGGTTTTGCAGCTTCCCCCATAGACATGGCGAGGCCATGGGAAAACCAGACACGCGAGACGAGACAGGTGTGAGCACCAAAACGAGCATTTCGTGCGAGACTTCCTCCAATTTTCACACTTTGTAGCTTCAAAATCGACGTTTTCCTACGAGTTTTCCTTAGAACCTGAAAATTTGCAACCTCAAAATCGATGTTTCGTGCGAGGCTTCCGTCAATTTTCACCACATCGCACAAAATGCCACGCCTGCCACGGAATTTGCACCTTGTCGCCACTTGACGCAGCCCTGCCAATGCGATTGGCAAAAGACACGCAACACGACACGTCTAAAGTGCTGCGCCTGCCACGAAAAATGACGATGGACACGTCCGAAGTGCTGCGCCTGCCACGAAAACTGCAACACATCTTCCCAGAGCCTCCAATAGTCCTTAATTAAGGAGATACCTTAATTAAGGTCTCCAGGATTTTCTTAATTAAGGACTTTTGGAGGAACTTCTGGAGACCTTAATTAAGTGATCTGGCTTTGGTGCTGTTTTAGTGTTATAATGGCTAAGTTTGTGTCAAAATTATCATATGTTTTTTTTCTTTGCTGTCCTTTAGAAAGTTTTACTTTTTGCAAAAAAATAAGTAATAATCTCCTCATAGGAGATTTTGTTTTTTCTTTACAGAAACTATCCTCTGAGGAGGTTTTCTTTTCTCATCTCTTTGTAGAAATCTTTCTCTCAGGGAATTTTATCTTCATATCCTTGAACAAATCAAGATGTGTACCTGTGCATGAGGTCTCAGGTCATGGGCAAAGAGATGAACAAAAAACAAATGTGTGCTAGTGTCTTCTTCACAAGAAATCCTTTTTTCCTCTTCATGCAACTGGAAGTTCGTCTTGAGACATGAATTTGTACAGTGTATTTCTGGAAGTTGAAGCAATTGTAATTTCCTCAGATGTGATTGATCTGTGGCATCAAAATTGAAAAAAAGAAAGCACCAAATGGCAAACAAGGTGCTCCCATATCTTCATCTCTATATGTCCAATTCTGAGAAGGGCAGCACTCATCAAATTCACATGGAAGAGGTGGTGCTTGGGCTTCAACCTCCAAAACATCCCTTCAGGATCGAGAGGGAGACAAAGTAGCAGGAATCTTTGTCCTGCTGTAGCTAATTCTTGTGGGTTGCAAAGGTCTCTGGACAGCAGGCTGCATTCAATCATGGAAAATGGTGTTTTCAAATGTGTTGGACTTGTCCAGCAATGCTTCTGCAATTTCCAAGCTCCATGGTATGAGAGACCTGGTTTCTCCAGCAGATGCTCTAAGCTTGGGAGCTGAGACTTTGTTTGTTTTTTGTCGCCCCTCCTGGTCATTCCCATATAGTCAAAGTATCAAGCCTGTTGTCCACTGAACTTCTCCTGTAGAAAGATTGCATGGATCTAAAAACAGAACTCAACCTCTTGTCTTTCCTGGAACTCTACCAAGGAGGAAAACAATCAAATTCCCTAGAAAATCTTGGGCAACTCCCAGGTCACAAGCATGCAGGCAATCAATAACAAAGCAATCTATACCTGGAAGCCTGGTGCACAAAATAATGCAGATATTATTTGTTTTCCTTCTGTTATGCAATCAACAAAATAATCCATGGTGGTTTTTCTCTGCATGGCTCCTCCAAACTAAGTGGCGCAATCCCTGCTGTTATCTTTGGTGGCATAGCACCTATAGCAAATGTTGCCTGACCTTCCACTGAGGTTGAATGGGTTTTTGTACATTTCCCCATCTCCTCTATAACTTCTGTGAGAAGTGCAGTGCATTTCAAGCTTTTGCCTTGGTTGTTCCTTCTCCAGGAAGACAGGAGTTACCTGGGTGCATGGAAAGAATCCAGCTTCTGTTAGGAGTGTCCAGTCAGAAACCAAAAAGAAATTGGCTGATGATTGGTCTTTCCAGGGAAAACAAGAAAACAGGCAATGACAGGCAACTTTTTTTCACCTTGTGCTCACCAGCTCTGTAGCCTCACTTCAAAGTGCAAAAACCGCTATATCCTTCTCTGCACCCTATATCCTATATATCTGTATATGTAAAACTCCATGTATATATGTGTGGGAGTATTGCTAAAACACATAGTCAGAGTTTAGAGAAGGATTTCTCCTCAGAGGAGTTTAGCCTTCAAGGAGAGCCTGGACTCTCCTTTTCAAAGCTTTCAGCCCATCTAGGTGCTGACTTCCTTTTTCTTTCCAGTCTGTCAACTTCTGACAGAGGGCCTTGGCCTTTGCCTGGTCCATGTTACTGGAAATTTCCAACTTGGAAGCAGCAAGGTCAACACGCAATTCATCAAGGGCTTTGCCCACCTTGTTGAAACCATCTTGAAGATCATCCAAAAGTTTTTTCATGTCTCTACCAGGGTTCTGGTGCATAGCCTTGAGATCCTTGAAGAGGCTGATGATAGCTTCATATTCTTTGGACACCTTGGTCTTGGCACTGTCCACCACTTTCCATGAGCTCTGGCACTCAGCAAATGGTTCAATCTTGATTTCTGGACCTTGGTCACCCAAAGCCAGCTTCATCTTGCTGACCTGAATGTCACCTGTGTCAACCCTGACCTCAGATGTCTGGTGTTCTGCACAGAGCAAGCCACCACCAAGGAAGCATGCTTCCTTGGTGGTGGCTTGCTCTGGTCGGTGAATGTAGTAGTACTTGCTCAGCAAAGGGTTGGTAGGATGTTCCTTCTTGAGTGGTGGGTCCTGCTGGGTGGTGATCCCCTACCTTTCATAGCAGTCTTTGAGCAAATCTCCAAAGACTTTGGTCCTGTCATCAGGCTCTAGATCTGTCCAGCTCCACCCACTGTGCTTCAAGATCTCAGGAGCTGACCTGAGCTGAAAATGTAAAATGCATGCTGGTTTAAATTAAATGCTGGATGTGGTTTATGTATATATCTTGATGGTGCAAGACTATATGCATGGATGTATATGTCTATATGTGTGAATATATTGGAAAATCTTATAAGGAATGTATATACAAAATGTGTATATATATAAATATCTGTCTATATGATATATGGCTACCTTCAGGATCTCTTCAAAGAAAATTTCTAACTCTGTGCATCACTCCTCAGAGGAGTGGCCTAAGTGTTATGTATAATCCATAAAAATTGTTTAGTGGAAACAGAAAATATAATTCAACTTTACCTAGAGACATGTACCCTTGAATAACTTCAGATGAAATCTCCTTAGTGGAGCTGCTGGATTCCATACTGGAGAGAATCTGCTGAAGGTTGCCCTTGACCCCACCTCCAGCAATGTACTTGGCCACAAGGCCCCTCTTCTCATCTGCCGACATGGAGTTGTATTTCTGCAGGGCAAGGGTCTCAATGGCACTGATGATGAAAACAGTATGGGTTTCATGCATGTTGGAGTTCAACAATTTCATGATGAAGATCAATCAAAAATGTATAGGTCTAATTGGTCACATAATATATAAATATATTTATATATAGGCTCATGTTGATCTAGACCCCTATCCTCCAAGACCATCTGTGCACCCTGAGCTTGTGGATCCTTTGGGTTCTTGGCTTTGTACTTCAGGGCAGTGATGAACTTGGAAACTTCTGCCCTAGAAACATCAGAGGCATCCTCCACAGGCTCCACTGCTGAAGTTTGGCTAGCAGCCTTAGCCTTAGCCTTGGCCTTGCTCTTCACCTTTTCCTTGACAGGCTTCTTGGGCGCAGCAGTTGACTTTCCCATGATGACAGCAGAATGAATTTTGTATTTGAACCAATACCAGCTTTGCAAAGATACATATATCATTCACCAAGATCACAAGAAACAGGAAGCAAAGCATTGCTGAATTCATTGGTGTTAAAAAATGTTAAAATTTTAACATTTTTTAACACTTTTTAACAATGGTTTTTAATTGTAAATCAATTTAAAACCATTGTTAAAAAATGTTAAAAAATGTTTAAATTTTAACATTTTTTAACACCAATAAAAAATTGATGCTTAGTCTTGGACTTCTTCTGATCCAACACTTCCACCATGACACTTTTGATTGGGGTCCCTGGCCATTGGTATCCCAGCCATTGTGCTGCCTCTGAACCTCACTTGGCAAGAGCTGACATGTGAAAGATGTTGCATGTTTGGTGAAAGGGTTCAATATATAATATTTCTTCTCTGAGGAGTGCTGACTCTATTCATATCATTTACATAGATTTGGAACTGATATATTTGTATTTTGAAAATATATTTGGATGCAATGG